CACCTTGCCCCCAAGCATCGTATGCAGCTCGCAACTCAGCATTCGATTCATTTTCAGCCACGACAGGAGGGTCGTCTTTCAGGTACTTCACCAAACCCAATGTGGTCTGGTAGAAGTGCATCTTCTGTTGCCACCTCTTGAAATCAAGCCCGTTGAATTTTTCGGGCTTCTCAGCAGTGGGAACATGAACAACAGGTTGGGGATGATGAACAACGGGGGTGACCGGTGGTTGAGTTTTTAATCCTTCTCCAGTGGATGCCATCAATTCAGTAGGTGTCGATATTTGTCTTGCGATTGTTACACAAATTGTGTTTTGTATTACAACGGGAAGCTATGAACTGACTGAAGTGTTCAGTTCGTACAAAAGAACTAAAACAAAAAATTAAATTACAACTCGAACGCGGAGAGATTTGAGCCGAGGCGATTGAAATCTATCCGCAAGACAAATACGCCCCGTATAGTGCTGACGGGTCAATGCGTAATGTCCCCAAAGATACAACGGCTTTAACACTCGGAAGCTATAGCACACCAGCCTTCAGAGTCCAGTCGAACAAGAATGAAGTCGAGAACCGAGAACTATGAAATGATGCGTGAGGCTTTGAGATTATCAGATTGCATGAAAATGTTGTGTATTTTCCACTTGCAGCTCTAAGTCCTATTTATAGGACTTCCACATCTTGAGGGAAACAAGAAGTCATATCTGCCACTTAAGGTAGAGATAATGGGCATAAAACGTTTTCAGGTGTTAATTCACCATTAACCTGGAGTTATCACCATTAACTGGTAATCAACACCATTAACACAAGGTCAGGTGTTACATTTCACATGAAAGGTCATGTGTCCAGATCCATTGTACCTGGAGAGGTATCACTCGGGTTGGGTCAAAACCCGAGACCAAATCTAAATTAGATTTTTCAGTTGGGCCTAAAATTGCAAATAAATTTGCAGCAAAAAGATATATAGTGCTTGGGCCCAAGGCCCAACCGCCCAAGGCCGCCCAAGTCCAGCCCAAAGTCCAATTGCCAAGGACCAAGGCCCAAGTCCCAAGTCCCAAGTCCCAGGCCCGTGCCCGTGCCCGTGCCCGTGCCCGTGCC